GAGTTTTAGGGTACTTACTTTTATCTGCCCATTTATCAAAATTTTTCTCACCCCAGACTCTTCTGGGTCTTTCATAATTTCTTCCTCCCCAGACTCCATTGGATCTGCCATTGCTGCGTCTCGCCTCGCTTCTCACTCTGTTCTCCCTCAAGCTCTTGTATGCTTCGGTAATCATATCCGCCCTATCTGCGGCATCTTTCACCTCCTTTATCCCTGCTTCTTGGATCTTGAACTTTGTTTCGGGATGCATCATCTCCAAGAACTTCTCCATGACCATCAGTTGCTTTAGGTCAGCGTAAGATCCAACTCCAGCAGCCTCAATCCACTTCTGGAATCGTCTTTCCAGATCTCTTGCTGTCTCAGCAAACGTACATGCTCCAACTTTGCTCATCTCTCTGAAGCGCTTTCTATAAGCTTCTGGGGTTAACTGAAACGAGCGCAATATGCTGCTCTTTACTGTGGCATAATCCTGGCACTCTTCCAGTGACAATTGGGTGTATGCCTCCCTGGCTGCACCGGTCAATCTTAACTGGACCAGCTGGGCCCATTCCTCCTGTGGCCACTCCTTGATACTGGCTACTTTCTCAAAATGCTCGAAGAAGCTCTCTGCCTCTTCGGGCACAAACAAGGGAATGTCCTTCTCCCTAACCCTAACATCTGGTGGGTGTGATACCTGGGTGGTGCTCTCTGGCAACCCATGTTCAATCCTTTGCTCAGCCAAGGTTCTGTTCGCTTCTATCTGCATTTGTTTTGTTCTCTCTTTTTCTTTTTCCACCTCTAGCCTTGCTTTCTCTTTTTCTTTCTCCTGTTCCAACTCCAGTTCTCTTACTCGGGTTTTCTCTTTTTCTTTCTCCACCTCTAGTCTTGCTTTCTCTTTTTCTATTTCCAGTCTGGTTTTCTCTTTTTCCTTCTCGGCTTCATTTTTCATCTGGAGTTCCAATTTCATCTTTTCCAGCTGGAACTGTCTCTCCTCACGCTGTTGTTGGATCTGGAGCTCTAACTGGAATCTCTCCAAGCTCCTATTTCGGCTACTCCTACTACTGCGGCTACTCTTGCTGCTCCTACTCGATCCCTGGGATCTCACTTCATCCTGCCCATCATCCTCCTTTCCACTTTCAGCAACTTTCTGGGCTCCTTGTTCTGCCGCTTCATTTTTGGCTCTTAACTGCCTCAGGATCTCATCCTTCATCCCAGCTACTTTAGATGCTTTCAACCTGATGCCACATTTTTCTGCTATTTGTTTCAATTGATCCCTCGTGCAACCTTCTAAGTCCTCAGGCTTGCCTGACTCCACAAACGCTTGCACCTTATCCATCTTGTCCTGTGAGTCTTCCCAAGAGAGAGAATATACACCTGCGATCACACAGTTTATCTATTTCAGCAAGGGTGTACAAATCCACTCTTGGACAGGGTGTGGGTGTGTCAGTTCACTCTCCCGGACACAGGCCCCCAATTTATTATAGACTGTGGGTTGGTTGGTGTTGTCGTCGTTGATCCTTCTCTACGGACAACCCAACCCACAACTCGGTAGAGTGCTTACACTTCACTAGGAGATCACACTAGGCGCTTCTGGCTCTTGGAGAGGGGCTCCACGTCACACATTTAGGGGATGCGGCTCCAACACTTAGCCTCGTTGTCACGTGCACACACCCACTCGAGCCGCTGTGACTCCCCACTCTCTCCTTAGGTGATATGATCTCCTCGATCCCCCTTTGACTTATTAATATTACCTCCTACCCTGTCCACAGCAGTGGTTCTTGGTTCTTTCTCTCTCTCTCTCCTTCTTTACTACCTCCTGGGAAGCCTCACTAGGACAAGGGCAAACACCAGCAAATTGTGACACATTTACTGGACAAAGCACATACACGATACATACACACATATAATAATAATGATTCCTATACTCTATAATATCACAATCAGGTTGCACTCCAACACCATCAGAACTCTATTATCAGCTTATCAAGTGGTATCCTATCTCCTGGTTCACCACCTGATACTATTAACCTCCTCAAGTTGATCAAGCCTACATACACTGTTGCACTATCAGCAAGATAATGTATATATAGAAAACCAGCATTTGAATGCAATAACATATATCAGTATAAATGTTCATTGATACACAACAATGATTAATTGATCACTGTCAGTCCTCGAGCACATACATCTGTAGGTAATCAAGCCTACGACTGCAACTCTAAGCTTCAGAATAAATCACTCCTTGACATAAGAATGCAAACAGTCATTCACCTCTCACTGCGTCTTGCACGCTAATGACAACCAAACACTATCAACTCCCTATAAGTAATCCACCAGAACTTCCCCTTCCACCTCTGGAAGTTCACTACCCTAATATCTTTAGGTTCTTCCGGGCTTCACTACCAGGATCCTCTGCAGCTTCTCCAGGCTGCTATCATGAAGTTTCCTTGAGTAACTACGGTGCTTCACCCTTCCGCTAGGTTCCTCCACAGCTCTCTTGGCTGCTACACCACCTCTACAGAAGCACGTGACACTCCTCTTCACTGCTTCTCCTCACAGCTCGAGGTCCTCTCCTTCACTACCTTGGAGTCTCGTCAATTACTTCATCTAGGCTGGCTTCGAAGTTCTCAGCAACTTCTTCCCCAAAAGACAAACCTGCAACCCATCGACACTCCAATAAAATGTTCCCCTTTAACACATAAACAAAAATAACCACACAATATGCTTGCCTCAAACCTCTATCTGTCCTCTACATACAGTGAGAGTGGACTCCCCCGCTTTGGGCGGGTCCATACTCCACCTCGCCTGGCGACGGTCCTCACTCGCTGGGAGGGTCTTCCTCCATCAGGAGCCAGGCTCCCTCAGTCGTCCGCCAGCGCTCAGAGGGGGCGGACGTCGCTCCGTGTTCCTCCCTCTCCACTCTCTTATTTCAGGCTTTCTGCCTTATTAAAACATGTCTAACTTATAAAATAAACATCGCTACTGTCGCTGGGCACACGACCAACTACAAGCAATCACTATGAACTGGCGTATATCGTGCTTACCACAGATTAACTGATCGAGGGCGCTTTTCCTCTGACGGCGTCTGGTCAGGGCGCTCCACACAGCCCACGAAAATGCCTCCGAGCAGCTTATTAAACTCTCCTCGCCGTCCAAGACTTGACACCACAACGTTCTCAGCTCAATTCCACAGCTGGCACGTCTGCACACTTCTCTTCTCTTAGAGATATATCACTAGGGGTTCCCTTCTGGCGGGAGCTCAAACGGAGCGCGGCTTCCCCCTGCAATGTCTGGCACTCAAGTGAGGTCAAGGTCGTCCGGAAGCGAGCCTCACGCCTCCAGCAAAATGTCCACATCTCCTCGCCAGTCATTTATCTGTTTTCTTCTTCATTGCCCATAATCTCAAACTGTTACACATATCCAAGCCACTATTTTACATATGCGTTATCACCTCAATATTCGCTAGACCTTCTAATCAGGTCAGGCTTGACGAATAACTCTCAAGGAGGGAGACTCGTTTCTCCTGTAGGCTGAGATCATAACACTACCCAATAATACATGAATAAATTTAGTGACATCCATTGTGATGACACTAAATTTCAGCGAATCACGAGGAACCCTGGGGAAGACCTTAAACGCAAAGTGAACAAACTATTACTACAATCAACGAAAAGAAAGGTAGTGTTCATTTTACTAAACTCCAGGGCGACTATGGCTTAGGATATGATTATATCCAGATCATTTATTTCATATATTTCCATGTGTTATTTTTTATATGCTTAATGTAGTTTTCGATAGTAAACTTCATATCATTTTACTGATGTGTTTACGTGCGCCCTCCATTTCTCTTTGATCATTATATAAGTGATACTATATGCACCACACTATGATCATTATTATTCATATTATGGAAAATATCCTAGTGACTGGCAGTATTTGAGTACACTGATATTTATGGAAACGTGCCCTTGGCTGGTAATTCTCAATCAACACTGTGAATGTGGCAACGTACTAATGCTGGGCGACACAGAGTTTAACCACTGAACTGCTTTGCTGGGATGCAGAGTTACAAACCCAGCTGGCGACCTTGTGAGTAGTTGCGTGACACAGGTGAGAGACAAGTGACCTGTGACCCCTTTGTTACGGCGAGCAAGACTCAGAGGAAGTGTTGTTGCTGAGTGAAGCAACATCTTAAGGTTAGTACTGAGTTTTCTTTCACTCCTCCGTGGGACACGGCCGGATCGCTAGTAGCGTTTTCGTCTGTGGATGGACTGAAAGGCTCCCAGGTCAATCAGTGGCACCCAGGTGTCTAGGAGCAATGGGACCTCGACAAGACTACCGAGGTTCCTGTTCTCAACAAACATTGGGATTCAATCCATTCTTCCGTTAAAGAGACTTAGTCATAAAATCATTTTTCATCACGTCTCTTCAGAGATAATTTTGTCGGACTATTTACTCAAGCAAAAACAGTCATTAATTACATGATCTGATAATACAGGAAAAAAACAAATATAATGCAAACAGGTATAATGCAAGATCTGATAATACAGGAAAAAACACATAAGTAATGCAAGACATCAAATAGCCCAAACACTTTCGTTTGTTACATTATCAGGAGTAGAGAGGTAAAGCAAATTACATGACAGAAGATTATATACACAAAATGTAAGTTTACATACAAACGAGGCTGGTTTACCTTCAACTTCACCAGAAACAATGTAATACACAAATAATTTTCCCATACGTAAATAGGAATTTTAGTTTTAACAGTCGGCAAAGTTACTCATTCCGCACGTTGAACAGGAACGAGCAGTCTTTGCACAAGTTAAGAGCTCACCTCGTCTATGTACGCGCTCTTCCGTCTGGCAGGAGCTCGCTCCCATTATGAAATATTAAAAATCATACCTTTGGGAGCGTTTTGCTTATTGTTGTCATGGCGATAATACGAAGCTTTGAGCATGTGTCCGCTCTTCGGGAACTTGGTAAGAGATTGAAGTGACTGTGTGGTTGTGGTACTTTACCTTTGGGCGTGTCCTCGGAGATGGTGGTGATGGTGGTGTGGGAGGGGAAGTACGGAGCGTTGTCGTTTACGTCCTTGAGGTTGACACGTACGTCAGTGTCCGTCTCCAGCTCGCCATCCGACGCCGTCACCCGCAGTCTCCACTGAGCCCGGCCGTGGGGTGGGTCACGGTCCAGGGGCTGTAGTATGGGCATGGGGTGGACACGCCGGGTTAGTGTGGACAACACGAAAAGTTAGACACTACAGACACAACATGAATGATTGTTGGTATGGATAACAATGACTAAGAGTCAATACAATACCCACCTGCTATTATACATGAACTGATTTCAATGTTAATAGTCTGCTTTTTGAAGTTTCTTTTAAGGCATTTAAACTAATGAAACGTTAACGTTTACTTTTCTCCTTCCACTGACACAATATAATTGGTTACGGCCACTTTCGTGGTCAGCGAGATCAATATTGGTGTCACTATGTTGTACGTTCTCACTACATATGTGCATTAAAATTGCACTGACGTTAACTTACTATTTATGATATGTGATATTGAAATCTACACACACACACACACACACACACACACACACACACACACACACACACACACACACACACACACACACACACACACACACACACACACAGGCGGCGGGCCGGCCGAGCAGACAGCATGCTGGACATGTGATCCTGTGGTCCCGGGTTCGATCCCGGGCGCCGGCGAGAAACAATGGGCAGAGGTTCTTTCACCCTATGCCCCTGTTACCTAGCAGTATATAGGTACCTGGGAGTTAGTCAGCTGTTACGGGCTGCTTCCTGTGTTGTGTGTGTGTGTGTGGTGTGGAAAAAAATAGTAGCAGTAGTTAGTAACAGTTGATAGACACTAGAGAGGCGGGCCGAAAGAGCAAAGCTCAACCCCCGCAGGCACAACTAGGTGAATACACACACACATAAACAAACAAACAAACAAAACACACACACACACACACACACACACACACACGAGGTGGGGCCTCGTAGCCTGGTGGATAGCGCGCAGGACTCGTAATTCTGTGGCGCGGGTTCGATTCCCGCACGAGGCAGAAACAAATGGGCAAAGTTTCTTTCACCCTGAATGCTCCTGTTACCTAGCAGTAAATAGGTACCTGGGAGTTAGTCAGCTGTCACGGGCTGCTTCCTGGGGTGTGTGTGAGTGGTGTGAAAAAAAAAAATAGTGTAGTTAGTAAACAGTTGATTGACAGTTGAGAGGCGGGCCGAAAGAGCAATGCTCAACCCCCGCAAACACAACTAGGTGAAAACAACTAGGTGAAACACACACACACACACACACACACACACACACACACACACACACACACACACACACACACACACACACACACACACACACACACACACACACACACACACACACACGAGGAAATAGGAAAGAGAGAGAAGAGAGAGGAGGAGGTGGTGTAGCTTTGCTACTAAGAGAAGGTTGGAGTTTCGAAGAGATGGTAATTCAGAACTATGAAGGTTTCAGTGACTACATATCAGGCACCATAGCAACTGGAGGACAGAAAATTATAATAGTAATCATATATAACCCCCCACCGAACGACGGAAGACCCAGACAGGAATATGATAGAAACAACTTGGCCACCATCAATATAATACAGAGAGCAGCTTCTGTGGCTAGCAGGAATGGATCCAGACTTCTAATCATGGGAGACTTCAACCATGGGAAGATAGATTGGGGGAACAGAGACCCACATGGAGGCCCAGACACATGGAGAGCTAAGCTGCTGGATGTGGCAACAAGAAACTTTCTAAGTCAACACGTCAAGGGACCGACAAGAATGAGAGGAGGGGATGAACCAGAACTTGCTTGATCTGATATTTACCCTAAATGAGTCGGATATAAGGGAAGTTAAGTTGGAAGCCCCATCGGGATTGAGTAATCATAGTGTATTGAGCTTTGAGTACCTGGTTGAGCTGGGAATTATCACCCCCAAAAAAGAACTGGGAACCAAAGGGCTGGCGTACCGACAGGGAAACTATGAGAAGATGAATTAACTCCTATGGGATATACATTGGGACACAGAACTCGGAACCAAGTCCGTACAAGACATGATGGACTCTGTCACCTAAAAATGTCAGGAAGTTGTAAGCAGGTTTTCCCAGCCCGACAGGAAAAAACAGAGAAGCAAAGGAAGAATCCGTGGTTTAATAGGGAATGTATGAAAGCAAAGGAGCTGAACAAAAGGGCATGGAGGAACTTCCGTAATAACAGAACACCAGAAAGTAGAGAGAGATACCAGAGAACCAGGAACGAGTATGTCAGTGTGAGAAGAGCAGCTGAGAAAAGGTATGAAAATGATATAGCTAATAAAGCCAAGACCGAACCAAAGCTACTACACAGTCACGTCAGGAGGAAGACAACAGTGAAGGAACAGGTGATGAAACTTAGGGTGGGCGAGGACAGGTACACAGAGAAAGACAAAGAGGTGTGTGAAGAACTCAACAAAAAGTTCCAGGAGGTCTTTACAATAGAACAGGGAGATGTCACGGCGCTAGAAGAGGTGGCAGCAAACCAAGTGACCTTGGATAGGTTCGAAATTACAAGAGATGAGGTCAAGAAGCCCCTATTGGAGCTGGATGTGAAAAAAGATGTTGGGCCGGACGGAATCGTGCCATGGGTATTGAAAGAGTGTGCAGGTGCACTTTGCTTACCACTCTCCATAGTGTATAGTAGGTCACTGGAAACGTGGGACCTACCAGAAATATGGAAGACTGCTAATGTAGTACCAATATACAAAAAGGGTGACAGACAAGAGGCACTGAACTACAGGCCAGTGTAGTATACCATGCAAGGTGATGGAGAAGATTGTGAGAAAAAAAACCTAGTAACACATATGGAGAGAAGAGGCTTCGTAACAAACCTTCAACATGGGTTCAGGAAGGGTAAACCTTGCCTTACAGGCTTGATAGAATTCTACGATCAGGTGAAAAAGATTAAGCAAGAAAGAGAAAGGTGGGCGGACTGCATTTTTTTGGACTGTCGGAAAGCCTTTGACACAGTACCCCATAAAAGGTTGATGCATAAGCTGGAGAAACAGGCAGGAGTAACTGGTAGGGCGCTCCAGTGGATAAGGGAGTACCTAAGCAATAGGAAGCAGAGTTACAGTGAGGGGTGAGACCTCAGACTGGCGTGAAGTCACCAGTGGAGTCCCACAGGGCTCTGTGCTTGGACCTATCCTGTTTCTGATATATGTAAATGATCTCCCAGAGGGTATAGACTCATTCCTCTCAATGTTTGGTGACGACGCCAAAATTATGAGAAGGATTAAGACAGAGGAGGACAGCTTGAGGCTTCAAGAAGACCTGGACAAGCTGTAGGAATGGTCGAACAAATGGCTGTTAGAGTTTAACCCAAGCAAATGTAATGTAATGAAGAAAGGGGTAGGAAGCAGGAGACCAAATACAAGGTACCATTTGGGTGATGAAATACTTCAAGAGTCAGAGAGAGAGAAAGACCTGGGGGTTGATATCACGCCAGACCTGTCCCCTGAAGCTCATATCAAGAGGATAATATCAGCAGCATATGCCAGGTTGGCTAACATAAGAACGGCCTTTAGAAACTTGTGTAAGGAATCTTTCAGAACATTATATACCACATATATCAGACCAATCCTGGAGTATGCGGCTCCAGCATGGAGTTCATATCTAGTCAAGCATAAGACTAAACTGGAAAAAGTTCAAAGGTTTGCCACCAGACTAATGCCCGAGCTGAGAGGTATGAGCTACGAGGGGAGACTACGGGAATTAAACCTCACTTCGTTGGAAGACATACACACACACACACACACACACACACACACACACACACACACACACACAGCAGCATCAGTTGCCTGCAGGATTGGCTCAAGACTCTTAATCATGGGCGACTTCAACCATCAAAAGATAGACTGGGAGAATGGAGGACCCACATGGTGGTGCAGATACATGAAGAGCTAAACTCTTGGAAGTGGCAAGAAGGAACTTTCTGAGCCAGCATGTCAGGGAACCCATAAGAGTAAGAGGCAATGATGAACCAGCTAGACTCGACTTGATATTCACCCTGAATGAGTCAGAAATAAGGGCAGTCAAAGTTGAAGTCCTCATAAGAATGAGTGAGCACAGTGTACTGACTTTTGAGTACTTGGTGGAGGTAGGGAAAACCTATCCAAGGATAGGATTGGAGGGAAAAAAAACTAAATTATCGAAGAGGAAAATATGACGAAATGAGGCACTTCCTAAGGGGAATACCATGGGAAACAGAACTTAGAGACAAGACTGTGCAGGACATGATGGATTTTGTCACCCAGAAATGCCAGGAAGCTGCAGACAGGTTTATCCCGGTTCAAAAGGAGAGAAACGAAAAAAAAAATAAAAAAAATCCATGGTTCAACCAGGAATGCAAGGTAGCGAAGCAACTGAATAAAAGAACATGGAGAAACTACAGAAATAACAGAACACCGGAGAGCAGGGAGAGATACCAGAAGGCCAGAAATGAGTACCTCAGATTGAGGAGGGAAGCAGAGAGACAGTATAAAAATGACATAGCGAGTAAAGCCAAGACTCAACCAAAGCTGCTCCACAGCCACATCAGGAGGAAAAAAGCAGTGAAGGAACAAGTGATGAAATTGAAAAAAAGGGGAGAACAGATACACAGAGAGTGACAAGGAGGTGTGTGAAGAACTCAACAAGAGATTAAAAGAGGTCTTCACAATAGAACAAGGAGAAGCCCCTGCACCAAATGAGGAGGAGGCAAACCAAGCAACCTTGGAGGAATTTGACCTCACCAGTGATGAGGTAAAAAGGTGTCTGTTGGAGCTGGATGTGACAAAGGCTGTTGGGCCTGACAGAATCTCACCATGGATACTAAAGGAAGGTGCAGAAGAACTAAGTGTTCCACTCTCTATGGTGTATAACAGGTCACTGGAAACAAGATCTACCAGAAAGTTGGAAGACAGCTAACGTAGTCCCAATATACAAAATGGGTGGCAGGCAAGAGGCACTGAACTACAGACCAGTTTCCCTAACTTGTATACTATGCAAGGTAATGGAGAAGATCGTGAGGAAAAGGCTTGTAGAGTATTTGGAGGGAAATAACTTTGTAATGCACCACCAACATGGGTTCAGAGACGGTAAATCGTGCTTTTAAATCTAG